TGCTCTCTTTTTTTCAAACTTGGAAGGTTTGTATTTGAAACTGAATTTAGTTTGGTCATATATGTAGTCCAAAAAGTTTAAAATTTAAACCGAAATTTTTAACCGTGCAGTGGAAGAGGTCGCAAAAACGAAGCAAACCAATCTTCCTAGGGCAGAGAACGCGAAAAGCTAAAAAAAGCTAGCTATGTACAAGTTACTGTTTCAAAACTTGCAATATTAAATTTTTAAATATAAAATTTGCAAATCAACCATACTGCAATTTTATTTTTTTAATGGTATTAGGCTCTTATTTATCCAAATTTTCAGGTAATAAAAAAAGATACAGTTCGGATGTTACTTGTTGTCGTAGACGTTTTTTTTTTAATTTATGGCTTACTTTTATAAAATCATATAAACTCATATATTCATTAAAAGATAATTTGTCATCCGTCTGAAATAAAAAAATTTTAAATCAGAAGGATAAAATAGTATTGTGTTATTAATTCAAAAGTAAATAATTGTGGTTCAATGACGAAGGGGGGGGGGGGATCTATCCCCCCTGGCTACGCCACTGTCAGTCAGTTTGTAATATGTTTTTATGTACCTAATAAGTATAAGTTCTGATGTACTATAAATCTGATTCACGCTTTGTAATATACTAGCCGTCCACGGATGCGCGAGGCTTCGCCACGCGCTGAATATATCTGTGTTCATATGGAAAAGTAGCTTATGTCGAAAGGCTGGCTTTATTATAAATCGGCATTCGCAGCATACGATTGCGAATGACTCACTGGCGCTAAGCCGTTGAACAACTTTTGGCAAATAAACGTGGAAGAAATAGTTCCGATACTAGTAAGTCAATATTCTTATTAAGTCTCATCAAAAAATTCCTTGCCGTTTAACAAATAAAGGGATTGCCGCATTATACTAAAGCCAGCCTTTCGACATAAGCTACTTTTCCATATGAACACAGATATGTACATTTACGTATTTGGAGAAAGAAATCAGATGTCATCATGTACTTCGCTTATTATATACATAAAAAATCTTGTCCAAATCAGTTCAGTAGCGTGGTTAAAATATCTCGCCTTTCCTTTATACTATGTATAGAAGATAGTAATTTTAAATAGGTGGCAACCCTACTCAAAAACTTAAAGTTTTTGAACATGCGAAGCCCATGCACATTCATTTGGTATTCCATTATTTTATCCAATGAACGGTGAAGATCTTGTAGTTTTTAAACAGGTGGCAACCCTACTCAGAAAAATAATACCCCATTACACATCCAGAGGCTAATAGCCCAGTTATTCATACTTGCACTGCTGTACCATTTTTACGTAAAAATCAAAACCCAACAGAATTCTACATGTTAAGTGCTATGCGTTGGGTAACCGCTTACACGCAAAGCCCATTTAACAGATTCTTATGTGACAACTCTCATGCAAAGCCAAGTATGCATAACTGGGCTATAAGTCTTTTCATTTGACAGTGACGGTGCAGAACTGACGCCTACGCTTATTAGAATTGAATATAGTAGTTTTCTTAACAGGTGGCAACTCTATTAAAATTCTAAATTAAAAAGGTCACTCTCCTATCGATACAGAATATATTAGAGAAAATCTCATCAAAATCAATTCAGTAGTTTTTGAGATTACCGCGTACAAAGAATCTCGACTTTCCTTTATACTATGTATAGAAGAATAATTCAGTTTATTATTTCCGCGAACTATTAGAACAGTCTGCTTCTATCTGTGGCTACGAAGATGGCGCTTGTCTCTATTATTTTTTATTTATAAGCTTGAGAACCCGTCGCGAGCGTACGATTTTTCCATCATTTTGTATGCCTTTCATGAACATGAAATGGTATTATAAATTTGGTCCAGAAGAAGATATAGTAGACCCACATAAATGTTTGCCAAAATAATTTTTCTTAGCTAAAAAAATTTTTTCTTAGCTAACTTCGATTCTCTACAAAAAAGGTCTATATACCAAATTATGTAGGACTAATACTTTCGAAGATTATAGCAATTTTAGTCAAAAAATGTATTAATTAATTAATTTTTATTTTTTGAGCATATTGAACTTTGATGGACTTGGGCGAGCCTAGGATATTGACCAAAAATTTCAAATTTCATACAGATTTTTCTTAAAGCATAATGAATCATATTTTTGCTATTACGAATCAAAATTCTAAAAAAGCGGATTTTCGGCCCAGGCTAGTGTACACTAGACTGGGTCGGTCCCCATACAAAAAAAAAAAAGTTGCTAATGTCCGCCCCTAAATTTAAAGATTATGTTGAGAGGGTTCTGGAAAAATTTTTTATTTTTTTTTTTAACCCTCCGAAATACAGCCGAAATGGTTTTTTCGTTGTAACTTGGTTATTTGACGGCCGATTTTTAAAATTGATATGTCATTATTTTTGTCTTGAGAAGCTTCACTTTTCGTTCTTATGTCTTTTTAAGCTTTGAAGTCGCGTTCGCATGATAAGGGCAGAAACAAAATTTTACCCCCCCTAAAGCATATTTTTTTCCTTACCAAACGAAAGTACTTAAAAATTCAAGAAAATGTTGCCTTCAAACTATATTACTAAAATAATCAACAAAAAAGTTATTTCACTTACAATATTTATTGCTACTTAAGCAAATTTTGGCGCGAATCAAGGCTTTTATATTGGTCTCGGCTTTCTAATTTTGCAAAAATGTGGCCCAGGCGCTTTTCATCAGTGACAGCACTTGCAGACTCACTAACAACACGCACAAACCGTTCGGTATTCTGGGAATGACAGAGGAACTCTAAAAAAAAATGATTTAAAAGTACTATAAGACCCGTGAAGTTTTTAGTTTGAAGATATTTACCTGGGATATTTATCACTTCATTTTCCGAAAATTGAAACATTGTAAGTTCACTATCTGGGTAGAACTGCACACAAGGGGGTTCCGTAATCTTAAACTGACTCCAATCGATCATGCTGACATACGACTTACTTTCAAAGTTTATTACGCCACGCTTTGGGACCTTGAACACGCGAAGCCCTGCTGGTGGATATTGACGTGCTGTTTTGATTTTTTCGTACCCATCATTACGTATCTCTGGATCAGCGTCGGTTATCATGGCTAATAATATATTTTCTGGGTGAAAATAATATGCATTATTTTCTATAGCTGAACGTATAATGGCTTGAACAGCATTTGATAGTTCGCGTATCCAGCAAATATACTTAAAAACGTGTCTACTTCCATGAATTGCTTGTGGCTGGCTCTTTACAAGAAACCAGAATGGTGCATAAACTTTCACAACAAACTCTACCATGTTTCGCAACTCCGCTGACGGGCTTTCTTTGGAAACATATACCCGAAGTAACTTGGAAGCTGTTGTAAGCCACCGAGCTGTACTGACGGGACCGGGGCTCTTACTAGCGAGATATTCATCGCATTCACCATTATTTACTGCCAAAACCATATCAAATAAATAACGCTGATCATTGCGTAATTCCCAAGAGCCAATATTTTCAGGAATAACTCCCATAGCAATAGCCTCAAAACCACTTACAACCTGATAAGGAAAATATATGTTTTTGTTTATAACATTAACTATTATAGTGTGGACAACCTACCGGGTATTTGGTGCAAGTCATAATTTCAGACCCCAACACCCCTGGCCAAACACCAGGTCCTTTCTGCTTGCCAATATAATGCGTTGACAACTTTTTTAGAGGCAACTCGTTGAAATGTAACAAACACACATTCCACTGCAAGGGCCTTTGTAAATAACGTTCCATTTGTGCATTTACTCCAATTTTATATCCAGTATTGACAGCTGTACCATCACAGCTTATAGCTACAAGTTCGTTTAAGCAATATTTTTGGGTATTCAAAAAGCTTACTATTGCTTGCTGGATTGCTTCCCCAGTGCCTTCTTTTGGAGTTACGTATCCAATAAATTTCGAATCAGGCTCTTTCAAAATTGTAATATGCTCCTCTCTTAGAAGCATTGTTCTTACGCTACCGTGAACTATTTTTTTTTTTAGTGTTACGTCCTGTTTACCATCATACGAAATGCATTTAAGATCAGTGCCAGTTTTTGTTGCTGCTTCAGTTTGTGCTCTACATTTGTTACGCTCGCGTGAAATTTTATTTTTGTCAATGACCAGATAATCAAAATATTTCATAATTTTATCCGCTGTGTTTTCTTTAAAATCCTTTTTTACTTTTGTAGCAATCGCAGCTTGCAAATCTTTTATTAGCATTGTAGCAAGCAATGATCCAAAGCGATCTGAAGTATCCGTCCTATCTAACGCCGAGCAATAATTTTTTAAGGACAAATCAGATACTTTTAAACTTTGTGTGACTTCTTCACTTGCTTCATCGTCTTCACTTGAGCTAGGCACATAACCAATCGAACTTGCAGCGGTTTCAGTGTGATTTTCAACATTACATTCTAGCGAGCAATTGTCAGTTCTAGTATGATCAAGCCCACTATCTAATGACAAAAGCCTTGGCCCGCATTGATCATAAAGAAAGTCATTTACCGCGGTTGGAACTCTACTTGCACTAGGGCAATCACATTGTCGATTTAAGTCCATAATGCACTTACACTTTGAAATTAACAATATTTTATTCCATTCCTGATCATTATATTCATAAGGATGTTTTTTTACATTGTAATAACTTTGAAGGAGGCTTTCAATGTTTCTCCGGAGCGTAGTTCTTGTAACTATAGGGATGTTTGCCTGCTGCCACAACTTTGAAATTGTGTTCATAACTATTGGCAAATATTCATTGAGACTTCGATTTTTTGGAACACTTGCAGAGCCGTAATATTTAAGGAACAAAAGATATTCAATAACACCACGTTTCGTAGGTAACATTTTAATATCAATATCGCGCTTAACGAAAGCCATTTTTAAATTGCACACACTGTTAAGTCACTTTTTAATTTTATTTCACCAGCACAATTTATGGTATTAATTATAAATTATTATTATCAATACGAAACAACAGGTTTGACTCACTTATTTACTTTGACTTCCACAATTTATAAAATTTATTGGCATGATTAAATTACAAGAGGTTAGCTCGCTATTGACAGCGTCAGTTTTGCACTCCCCGGGTTGCTGATGCGACGAAAACAAAGAGTATGAATTTGGGAAAAATCGTAGCAAAAATGTACCTAAGTTGGTACGAAAGCAGTGAGATTAAATTTCCAACTAAGAAAACTGTTGGAGGAATTTGTGGGGGCGAATTTTGTTAGCTGACCTAACCATGGGTAAACGACTTCATAGCTTAAAAGGAAATGTGATGACATGTTAATTTTAAAAATCGGCCGTCAAATACCCAACTTTCAACGAAAAAACCTTTTCGGCTGTATTTCGAAGGGTTAAAAAAAAATAAAATAAAAATTTCGAAATCCTCTCAACATAATCCTTAAATTTAGGTTACTCTGTTGCATAAAAAAAATCAATTTTTGTTGTACTGTGTTATTATACTTACATCTGAAACTCATGTTGACCTGTGATATTAAAAGTGCTATAACTCCTTTGTTTATTATTTTAGTAATATAGTTTGAAGGCAACATCTTCTTGAATTTTTAAGTACTTTCGTTTGGTAAGGAAAAAAATATACTTTAGGGGGGGTAAAATTTTGTTTCTGCCCTTATCATGCGAACGCGACTTCAAAGCTTAAAAAGACATAAGAACGAAAAGTGAAGCTTCTCAAGACAAAAATAATGACATATCAATTTTAAAAATCGGCCGTCAAATAACCAAGTTACAACGAAAAACCCATTTCGGCTGTATTTCGGAGGGTTAAAAAAAAAAAAAAAAAATTTTTCCAGAACCCTCTCAACATAATCTTTAAATTTAGGGGCGGACATTAGCAACTTTTTTTTTCGACCCAGTCTAGGGTATACTCATTTCGATATAGAATACTCCTAAGGGGTGAGAGCATTAAAATTCCGACTTTACTTATTTTGGACCACCCTAATGTACATACATAGGCCAGCAAAGGCATGTTTCTTTCGTACGAGTATGTCAATCAAAGTGATATGTTCGCATATCAAATTTCCCCTGGCGTCTTGTCTTGTAAATTATATGAACCGTAATTACTGAACTAATTATTAATTGACATGAGATTGGCGCCAGCCAACAACCAACAAAAGCGTCAAGTGTTTTTTATGTACATACATATATGTAAATATAGTTAAGAGCAAGGCGCCACACACATACAAAATTGCACTTAAATGTAAAAAAAATTTTAAAAATAAACGAAGCAAAAAACCGAAAGAAAGAAAATGAAGCCTTTAAAAAATGACTGCAAACGCTCACAAGTTTATTTATAAGCCCAAACAAGCTTTTGCTGTTCTAAAACACTCCACTGTGATTATCACACGATCGTCGATTTTTTTCTGATTTTTACAAACACTTTTCTATGGACTGTTAGTCGCGTCGCCTGCATTGATGAGAAAGCACTTGAAACAATTTGATTTGTTGTTTATTAATTTTCAACAGCATTTCAGTAATATTACAAGCATGTACAATTATGTATGTATTTACATTTGGGTGATCAAAAAAAAGAAAAAGTAAAGTCGGAATTTTATTACTCCCACCCCTAGGATGGTTCTATGCCAGAAAATAAACCCGTTTATTTATTTTAAGTCAAAAACAAATTAGAGGTCGCTCAATGCCCTCAAAGTTTTCCATGTATTTTATGTGGGGGAAAAAATTTTCGTAAAATGGTAGAGAATTCTTGAAAACCACTATTTTTCGATCGGAAAACTCTGTCTCTCTTCCCAGCGACAACCTATTGCTTATTCTACCATTTTTTAATACTAACGACTCTTTATGGGTCCCCGATTGCATTTATTGGGGTTTTCGGGAAACCTAAAAAAAAAATAATTACTATTAAAAAATGATTAAATAAATAGTTTAGTATTATTGTTGGAAGTCTCCTGAAGAGAAACCGAGTTTTCCGATCGAAAAATATTGATTTTCAAGAATCGTATGCCATTTCTACAAAAATAAAAATTTCCCCCATATAAAATACATTGAAAACTTTGAGCATGGGTATATTTTTTCGATATAGAGCTACCCTAGGGGGTGGGAGCATTAAAATTCTGACTTAACTTTTTAAAATTTTTTTTGGACCACCCTAATTTATCGATAAATTATTTTGTAATAATGATCAAATGATTGCCTTGTTCTAAGTTATGATAAATTCACTTGATTCGTACATATGCAAGCTTGAATATATATAAAACTTAGTTCCCCGGTAGAAAACAAGTTTTATGCTCCAGGGTTTAGTCTCAGGAAACTTAAAAATTCTCATCAGGTTTCATGCAAAATGTCTTCGATAATACCGTAATAAGTAAAGGTACATCTCCTAAACTAAGGCAAACAAAGGCCACATATCTGATAGAACAAATCATCGTTATACTCTGACCTTAGTTTCTAAAAGCAATTTGCACTAAAAATAGGACAAAAATTACCAAATGCAATGCCAGGAGTTCGACACCTTCCTCCGCCTGGCGGAGTTTAAACCAGAGCGAAGTCAACTTATTTAGATCTCGAAGGAGGCATACCCCAAAGCAAAAAGTTAAAGTTTTCAATGATCCAAAATGAACTTAATATGGCAAAAGCCATGCACCTAGAATTACATAAAATCGTCGATGATACATACGGTGGCCAGGTGAGGTCTCCATAATGGCTCTTCTGTATCTGAGAAGGAATTTTCTCAGCACCCTGTTTGGCCTTTTCAGGCCTTCTTCCAATACAAATTTGGTGGTTTTGGATGTTCCAGTATTGCAACACCGCTTATGACGAGCGTCATTCAAAAACTCGCTAATGGACCTCACATTTCCTGCTTACTTTTTACTTACGTCCAATTGGACGCTCCAAAGAACCGCAGCTTGTCACTTCATCAGCCAGTTCGTTGCCGGTGCCCAAAGGGGTTCAAGCCCATTCCAGTACCATTTTTAGTTTTGAAGCCATCGATATAGAGACCTTTTACAGAGTTCCCCTGAAAGCAGTCTGGGTCGCTTTATTATTCGCTAGCAAGAAAACTTATGAAGTATGCACACATTTTCTTGCAAAGGACAGTCGAGGTATCAGTTTCTTTACCGAAACTCCGATATCTTTCTACAACCCATAATAGCGCAGTCGATCCATCTTCTTCGTTGCCACCTCTTCCATGGTTAAAGCCAGGGTTTTATATGAACCCAGCGAAGAGTTAAAAGCCCTTCTAGACGTTGTACTCATAGCGCCCGTAATGCCTATTCATACACTCCTTTGCAGTATCTTTAACAAAGATTCTGTAACTTTCATTACGGGTCTACGCTACCATTCTACAGCAGAATACGTGCTGATCGATCTGGCTAAACATATTTATATCCTAAGAAATATGGCCGGTATCAGCCACTAATTTTTTCTTAAGCTCCCTCGACACGGTTTGAAAACTTTAATCGCTCGATTTACCTTCAGGCCGTTGTGATTTTTTCACGTCACCTTTTTGCCTAGATTTATACCTATGTAGATATTGCGCTTCCGCGAATAGACCTATATTTGCACCACTAAGCACCGGAAGGTTGTGAGCTTTCACCAGGGGCAACAAAGTGAATTGCCCTCAGAGCATCCTCTCCCAACCCAACCAAGGAAGGTCGTCCATTATGGGCAGTACACATGAAGTCAACATAATCTCTTTATAAATACAATTCATTTAGCAGCTTAAGTTTCAAGATATTCGATTCCAATTCCCTACAGGGCACACTGGCCGAAATTGGATTTTTTTTGGCATAAATTCAAGATTTTTGTAGCAATATATTCTTGGTATCAGTTATTTTTCTAAAAGTACATATATCAACTAAGAAAATGTCCCAATAAAAGATTTGAAGTTTCAACCTTGTGCTCTTAGTTTGCCTACAAAGTCATGTGTCTGATCAGCTGTTATTTTTCCAGATTTGGAGCAAAATTATTAGTAAACTTTAAAGTCTTGTGAACGGTTGTGCTATTATAAAAGAAAGAAAATCAGATATGGATAATGAAGGTCAAAGTATGTTCAATACAGTGAGTTAATGGTTATATCGTGTGTGTGTTAAATGTTGCTTTTATTTAATATATTTGTAGTGCATATTTAAAAAATAATACTTAACAATATGTTTGTGTTCCGCGGAGAAGAACTAGAAAGCTGGCAAGTTATTAGACGAGCTAATAATACAAAAATGCTTACAAATAATTAGATTTTATTGGCCTAGTAACAGTTTTTGCTCATTTTTGCCCATTTTAACAAAATTTTACATTTTTAGTGAAGTTCGAATTTCCACATGCAGAGTTTCTAACTATTTGGTGTAGAAATAATAAGAAAAAAGACGCGATAACAGAGTATATCTTTACTAGAATTGGGAAATCTCTTTTAAGTATTGATAAAGAAAGAGAAATACGCAAAAAAGTAGCAAACTTTGTCGCTTTTACTACACTAAATTTACGGAAATGCAACCGACAATTGGATCGACTGAAGGTAACGCATTCACAGTGGTTATCTGGAAATATAGTCATAATTGTTGACAATAATAACACAAAAAAGCCCAATAATGTAGGACGACCCCATTTAACTTATAATGACGCTGGACCCCGATTGAAACGGAAATTGTCTAGCGATCTTTCGAATGAGCACGATGCTTCGCTACTTGTACATGCCGCTACGTTATCAGCAAAAAAAATCTAATAGAGACGTAGCCTTTGTTTTAAAAGAATGTGTGAGGTCACCGAATGCGCCCAAAAGGTTAAAACAAAAGCTTTGTTCAAAGGATCCAATACCAATAACTCCAGATGAAGCC